CATAGCGACCCTATAGGACAGAGTAGAACTGCCCCATAGGGTTTCCTCGGCTGTAATCTTTACAGAAGCAGACTGCCACATCTTTCTCCCACTGAGTGGCTGGTGGATTCAACCGCTGACCTTTCGGTTAGCAGCCAAGTGCTTAACCACTGCGCCACCAGACTTCCTTCATCCTATAGTATGTGGGTATTATTGTCTCATGTTATGTAGATGTGAACACTGAGCCTCAGAGACTGCGACTAGCCCAGGACCACACAGCCAGGAAATGGCGGCACCTGGGCTTGGGAACAAGGAGCATGACTGGACACCCCATACTGCTTCTGGTTACATGTTGCCTGCCCACTCAGCGTGAAGGTCAGCAACAGGACAGGAGCCTGCTCCTAACATGTACGGGGCTGAGTGCAGGCCTCACAGAGAAGGAGATTCACTAATAACAGGCTGCTAATGAAGAAGAGCAAATGAAATCACCTTGTAGCTTTAAGCCAGCTGGAAGTTAACAGGCGAGTCAACCTCATGTTTGCCGCCGGTGAGTTTCTCCCATCTTTGCTACATAGGCAGAGGGTGTGTGTCTGAACCAGAACTACTGTGTCTTAGGCATTGAAGAGCAGTGGTTCTCAAAGTGAGTTCCCTGAACCAGCAGTGTCAGCACACTTGGGAACTTGTTAGACATGAAAATTCTCAGGTGCTATGGTAGACCTACCGAGTCAGGGACTCTGGGGGTGGAGCTGGGTGATCTGTGGTTTAACAAGTCCTCTCCGTGATTCTGATGTGCAGTGAAAACCCCTGTGATAGAGGATCCTGGAATGGAAAACAAGTGGTCCCTTGAATTTGAAGTTTCTTAGTCAGGAGACCCGGGTTCAAGGGGCAGGGTTTGGAGCACTGCAGCACAAGCAGCATTGTGTGGTCCCAGAGGCCCCGCACCCTCCGTCCTCCACAAGGCCTCCAGAATGCAAAGTGACACATCCCTCCCCTGCTTGCTCTGCAGCAGCTCCCCTTCAGGTGCAGACAGGACCCAAGCCCTGGGATACGCTGTCACCTCTCTCTGCTTTTGTGGCTAAGCAGTCTTCTCTGAATTGTGTCTTCATCCCCGACCTTAAGGGTCAGCCATGTATTCTATTCTGATAATTTGTAGTCAGCAACAACTCTAGCCACTTCAGTGTTGTGATTAATTGCTGTCAAGTTGATTCTGACTCATGGCGACTCCTTGTGTGCAGACTAGAACTGTCATAGGGTTTTCAATAGTGGTTGAAATTTCCAGGAACTGCAATGATATGCAAATGTAGGCTGATGAGGATGCTTACAGGCCTGTTCTTACTGTGACGGAGTAAAGACAGAGTGGTTATGAATGACAATAATTAATGCCATGTGTGAAGAAATAGTGACACCTCAAGAAAGACACTGTAACAGTTTTTGGCTACTGGAGTGATTAGACCTTACCGTGGCCTCACGGGGGTATCTGCTTCACGGAGAAAGGGGCTCTGGTACTGCTTCTGCCACTAACAGCACTGCTGTTATATTCGTGACCTACTTTTCCTACAGTACACTCTCAGCCCTGAGCACATCTGATCCCCCCAGTAACTCTCTGAGAATAGTATCACTGTCACCATTCTACTGAGAAGAAATTTAAGCTCCTAGATGCTGAATGACTTGCCTGAGGCCATTTAGGAGGTAACTGGCAAGACAGGTCTTCCATCTGCCTGGTTGACTTCCAGCTTATTCAAGCTTGAGTATAGAGACCTGATCCTGATCTACAGCAACAACAAAGCGAGTGGGGGAGGATGGTGAATCACGTTATTTTCTTACTGTACAGGTTTATGTTTTTTTTTTTTAATTATTGTACTTTAGATGAAGGTTTACAGAATGAACTAGCTTCTTATTAAACAATTAGTACATGTATTATTTTGTGACATTGGTTACCAACCCCATGACATGTCAGCACTCTCCCCTTCTCGACCTTGGGTTCCTATTACCAGCTTTCCTGTCCCCTCCTGTCTTCTAGTCCTTGCTCCTTGGCTGGTGTGTCCCTTTAGTCTTGTTTTGCTTTATGGGCCTGTCTGATCTTTGGCTGAAGGGTAAACCTCGGGAGTGACTTCATTACTGAGCTAAAAGGGTGTCCAGGGGCCATACTCTCCGGGTTTCTCCAGTCTCTGTCAGCCCAATTTTAAGTCTGGTCTTTTTTTTCCCATGAGTTAAAATTTTGTTCTACATTTTTCTCCAGCTCTGTCTGGAACCTTCTATTGTGATCCGTTTCAGAGCAGTTGGTGGTGGTAGCCGGGCACCGTCTAGTTGTGGTGGACTCAGTCTGATGGAGGCTGTAGTATTTGTGGTCCATCAGTCATTTGGACTAATCTTTCTCTTGTGTCTTTGGTTTTCTTCATTCTCCCTTGCTCCTGAAGGGGTGAGACCAGTGGATTATCTCAGATGGCTGCTCACAAGCTTTTAAGACCCCAGATGCTACTCACCAAAGTAGAATGTAGAACATTTTCTTTACAAACTATGTTATGCCAGTTGAGCTAGATATTCCCCGAGACCGTGGTCCCCACAGCCTCCAGCCTAGTAATTCAGTCCCTCAGGGAGTTTGGATGTATCTATGGAGCTTCCATGATCTTACCTTGGACAAGTTGTGCTGGCTTCCGCAGTATTGTGTACTGTCTTACCCTTCACCAAAGTTACCACTTACCTATTGTCTCTTTTAGTGTTTTCCCATCCCCGCTCCTCCCTTCCCTTGTAATCATCAAAGATGGTTTCTTTTGGTGTATAATAAAAGTTTATGATTCTTATCATAAATGCAACTTTGAAATTCAGGCCTTACTCAATAAGCACATTTCAGTTATGTACTATTAGGAAAGAAATACCTGAAATGCTAATAGTATTCCCATTAGAATCGGGAATGGGGCAAGAGTGTCTACCCCACCAAAGATATTCAGCATTATTTTGGAAGTGAATGTAGTAAGATTAAAGAAAGAGTTTTCTGTTTTTGTTTTTAATTTTGGGGGAGGGAAGAGAGAGAAAATTGTTATTACTGGAAACCTAGAAAACAGGAGACTTAGAAAAAGACATCATTCAAGTTCTTTCTTCTGGACTTCTATTCAACAGAAGTATTTAAACAAGTGCACAGTTACATGTACAAAGATTTATATAGGTAAGTGGTTTGTAATATGGATCCACATAAATGCCTACCATTAGGAGGATTGTAAATTATGGTCCATCCATGTAGCAGAACATAACTTAGATTCAACCAATAGACAGAAGAAGCATGCTGTATCTATTTCTACTGAATCAGAAAGGTGTCCACAATATATTATTGAGGAGGAATGAAGCCACTTGCAAAAAAGAATGTATAGCAGGATTCCATTAAAAAAGTATGAAGCGTGTATGTGTGTGTATAAATATACCTGACTGTATGTATATAGACCTATATGAAAAGTAGTAGCATGAGGGTGTTTGGCCCAGTACCTAATGAGAATAATTGGGAGCATCGTCTGCTAGAGTAAGGAGAGGGGTTCCAGATAGTCCCCCTCCACAGGGAGAGTGTAGGCAGGGCATCTAGCGATTTTCTGAGGGCCCTGGAGCTATTGAAAATTGCATCTTGGAATCTCTGTTGCAAGGTTATTAAGAAATGATGCCGACCTCACCTGGAGCTCTCTGAGAGGCAAGAAGTCTTGCCACCCTGCAGTTGGCACGTCTGCAGGTTGGAACATCCCCCTGAGTTTGATTTACAACCAGACCAGGTCCTGTAAATTTGGTAAGTGTGTTCTAGGAGGGGTTGTGGTAGCCTCTTCCTCGGGCCTTGCCTGTGTAGGGCAGAAATTCAGATCGTGAATAGTAAGGAATACCACAGACTGTTGGGAGGTCAGGGCTTGACAGAATTTGTGGGCGAGCCTTACATCTCGAGTTTCAATTGGTTTGCCACTCTCTCCCCACCCCTTTGCTTCTGAGGGGAGTGGTTTGGGCCCCAAGGGCAGCGCTCAGGGAATTAGCCTGATTCTCTAAGTCTTACAAATGGCTCAGGAAGCCTGGGGCTGCAAAGCAAGTGTATGTGTGTGTTGTTTTCACATAAAAACAATCAATTTCTTTCTTAAGAGAAAACCTTATACCAGTAAGTCCTTGAGTGCGCTAACTTTGACTTTCATCGTCATCTTTCTTGGATTCCAACATTAGTCATTTCAGCAACTCTTGCCAATACTGAAACTGCCCCTGCTCCTCTGCCTTTGTCACCCATCTCACAAACCCAGCCCTGCATGAACCCTATTACCCTGGCTCTTCTCCCTCTGCAGCTGAGCGGCTGAGCAAGGCTGGGGAACTTCACAGGGTGGAGCAGTTCATTTTGCAGGAAATGCTCCAGCCACTGGCCTTGGTGGGCCCCCAACACTCAGTGAGCACCTCCACTCTTTTCTCTGCTCTACTCTTCCTACAATTCCCAATAATTATCATAAAGTCCTAATTGTTCACTGCCTTAGACCCATACCCAGCTTCCACTCATTCTCAGCAGATGATCTGCAAGAGACAATTGAAACCACCAGAGGATCCCCTTCAACATCGCACTACTGAAGCTGTGGGCCTCCCAACATCTGCATCATCCCAGCCTCCCTCCCCTACCCTGTAGAACCCTCTACCTGCACTTGGGTGAGGGCCCTTCCTTACTCCTCTCCCCAGAGCCTCAGCTACCACTTCTCCCTCCGGTATATCCAGCAATGTCTTTCAACATATAAACATACCCTATGTCTTCCATTTTTAAAAATCCTTCCAGCATTCTCCTCTGCCTTACTACCAGCTTTCTTAAAAGAGCTGTCTGAACCACTGCCCTCCCACTCACTCCCCACCCCCGGGCCTCTAGCTTCTCTGCATCCTCCACAGGAAGAGCTCTGGCCGAGGCCCCCAGCAGCCCCAGGTGGCTCAATTGGAAGGACATTCTTCAGTCCTCTTCCTCCATGACCTCTCAGTAGCATTTCTTCCAATCGCCTTAAAATACACGATTGCCATGGCTTTTGTGAAAACACATACGCTTGGCTTTTCTCCTACTCCTACAACAGTCTGCTTTCCCAACCTGGCTAATGAATGTTTGAGTTGCTTAAAACAACTCTTGTCCCACTGTAAACTCCATCTCCAAGCACTCTTCTCCACACGTCCAGTGACGACTATCAAACTTGTATACATATGCAAAGCTTGGCACATAGCCTAGCTAGGTAAATGTTTAGTTAAGTACTAGATAACCAGATAAAATGATAGCTTGGTGCTGTCATATTATTATTATTGCTGTAGTATTACTGTATTATTATTATTATTGTATTTGCATGTTGATAACCATCAAGTTTTTATCCCTAGCACAGATCTCTCCTTGGCCTCTAGACATGTATATATTTAACTGCTGATTTGACATAGCTAGTCAGGAGTCCTGGTGGCACAGTGGTTAAGCCCTCAACTGCTAACCAATAGGTCAGCGGTTTGAACCCACCAGCTGCTTCGTGGGAGAAAGATGTGGCAGTCTGCTCCTGTAAAGATTACGGCCTCGGAAACGCTATGGGGCAGTTCTGCTCTGTCCTACAGGGTCGCTATGAGTCAGAATCGACTTGATGGCAATGAGTTTAGTCAGGTATCTCAAAAGCACATTAAGCTCAACCTGTCCAAAACTGAATACATCATCTCCTCTGTCAAGCCTGGGCCTGTTCCAGAACTACCTAGCTTGGTGGAGTTACCTCAGAGTCCATCCAGTTGCCCCAGCTGGAAACGTAGCTGTCATCGTTGACACACCCAGCCATCACCAGTTATGTCAATTTCACCTCCTTCCACTTGTCTCCATCCCCTTTGCCCTACTCTGTACCAAGCTATCTTCGTCTCCCTGGACTGCTGCAATACCTACTTCCTGGACCCCAGATTCACTCTGGATTCCATCCACCCCACTGCCAGACCTGTCTTTGCAAAGTGAAGATCTGACTATATCAGCATTGTCTAAAGCCCTTAAAATGTTCCACATTTCTCTAAGGATAAAGAACAAAATGTATACCATGGTTTAAAAGGTCACATATGGTCTGCTCCCTGCCCCTTCCCCACTTACCATCTTGCTGTAGGTGGTCCAGCCCTAGTGGCCTCAGTTAAGTTCTGTGTCAGCACCTCTCCCCCCACCTGCCGCTAGGCCTTTGCAGATGCTGCTCCCCTGTCTGGAAACCTCTTCCCCCTCTGCCCTTCACTTGGGTAACTTCTACTCATTCTGCATCTCTCAGCTAGAGAATACTCCCTGGCTCCCAGGTTTACACCAGCTTCCTTTATCTGCAGCCTCATGGAACCATATTCTTTTTTCCCAGAGCGAGGAAAGAAACATGCATTCACTGGTGTGGTTGCTGAGTTATGACTGCCGCCCTGCTGGATGCAGGTTCCAAGAGGGTGGCGTCTGAGCCTGATTTCCTCATCATGGTGCCCCCTTGAGCCCAGCAGCCGTGCATTTCTAGGCTCTTCCTGAACTTAAACTCGAGATAGCAAACCTTTTAAGGAAAGACAAGGGCCAAAAGCATGTGGTACTGGTTCAACAGCCAGGACTTCCATTTTTGTCCCCTCTCTTGGGGTTACAATCTGTGCCTGCCCTTCCAAACCACTGCCCTGGGCTGGGACAGGGCGGGCTTCGATGACCTCACAGACCCCTTGTCCATTTCCCCTTTACTTTCCTCCAGCTGGAACCTCTTTTGACTGTGCAAGTTTCTTCTCTTCAATAATATGTTACTAAATAACTGAATGTGTCTTTATATCTAGGTAATTGTAGGGACAGAATCTGAAGCTGTTGTCCTTCTGCACAGATGAATTCTTCAGTCAAAGCTGTGCCCCTGGGTCAGACCTGAAGTCCAGTCTCTGTGCTCTGTGCAGCAGCAGTCTACCAAGTCCATCCCACACGTGTGCCCACAACAGCCTCGAGAGATACTATGGCTCTACAGGGGCTTTCAGGCAAGTGTCTGTGCATCACTTTTCTCCCTGGAACCAACCCCGTGAACATGTCCTTTCACCTTTTTCATCATCTGGGTGCTGCATTTAGGAGGAACCAGAACTAGGAAACAAAACTGCAGAAACCTGATTGTAGATTTCAATGTGGTCCCAAGGCCTCAAGCCCAGCCCCCTGCTAGAGCGCTCTCCTGCAGACCCAGCTGACTTAGGCAGCTGGGATGGGCACCTGGGGAGGGGCAGGGATGACAGGTGCAGTGTCACTATCCTGGGTTTAGTTTTTCTTCTTTCTTTTGTGTAATTGTGGACAAGTCATGGATGCGTTCTGGGCCTCAGTTTAAAATCAAAGGAAGGACACCAGACATGTGCTTCTCACACCTGGCTGATGAGGAGTATTTTACAAATAGATGTTCCTGGACTCCTCAGCCCTCCTGAATCAGGAATGAATTTCTCCATCCATACAAGAAATACTTATTGAGCCCCTAACCTGTGGCTGGCACTGTTCCAGGGAGAGGGATACAGCAGCAAACAAGACACACACATTGTCTGTCCTCCCCGAGTCTGCTGAGGACAATAAACACACAAAGAGCAAGACACCTCCCGACTGTCATGAGTGCTGCAGAGGAACCAGCCAAGGTGATGTGGCAGTGACTGGGGAAGGGGACAATTTTAGAAAAGGTGGCAGGAGAGGCCTCGCCAAGTGGATGGACCATGTAAGCCAAGGATTAAGTATTGAGAGGGAATCAGGTTTGTGAAAAATCTATAGGAAAAATAATCCAGGCAGAAGGAGCAGGAAGGACAGCGGCAAGAGCGAGGAGAATTCATACTGTGTTTGAGGCCAGTGAAGAAGGTCTGTGCAGTTGGAGCGTGGAGAGGGAGGGGTCAGATGTGCCAGGAGGCTGGAGCAGCGGCATGGGTCTCATCTTGGGCCCTATTGGCCTGGTTGAGGAGGCAGATTTCATTCTAAGGGTGATGGACAATGCTGGATGCTTTGAAGCAGTAGGGTCGTGTTATGTGAATTAGGCTTTAAAAAAGATCTCTCTGGTTGTATGGAGAATATAAGAAGACAGGAGGGGAAGAAGGAAGGCCAGATAACCTTGCTTCAAATCCTAAATTTTATGAGGCTCTAGAAAGTATCTTTTTTTAGAGACACCAGTGTCTCTCATTGCCCACTGCTTTGTCCTGCCCCTCTCCAACATCTTGTCTCTTTCGTAGGCCGTAGATAAATTACATACTTTCAGAGATCCCACTACAACAATATATGCTGAATGTTAAACCTAGGCTAAAAATAGTTTAACTTTTCTTTGCATTTTTGGGAATTGGGATCAATGGTCCCATTTTGGTGCTATTAAGGTAGTATTACAGAGGACCTAGAATTGTCTGAGTTCTATTCAGAAACACAAATTCCTGTCTTTCCAAAATGAAGATGAGCACACAATGAACAATCTTAGCTTCAAACATCTCATATACCCACCACTTTCTACCTGTCATCTCACTCCCTTTGGTTTTCTAACTCCAAAAACCTTTCATCCCCACGGACCTATAATCCACTGATCCTGCAAACTCTTCACTGTCTTCTCTGCTCTCCCCTCCACCACCTACATCCCCTCTTTTCCCTCCTTACTCACTGTACATTCCACGGCCAATTGTGAAAATTACTCCTCTGCACATATCCTCAAATGCCTTGCTGCCTCTCCTGGCTAACTCATGACCTTGAGTAAATTTAACATTTCACCTACTCAGTATCTGCACTTCCAGGCTGATTGGCTTCCATTTAAAGTAATGGCCTCCAACCTCAAGCGAGCTATGTATCTCTAGTCCATTCACTCCCCCACTCTCCTAGAAGATGATTCCATACTTTCTCCTCTTCTCCAGCCTCCAACACTCCTTCCCCATATAATACAACCTGGGAAAATTGAAGCCATCAACAGAAATTCCACAAACCCCCACTGCCACATCTACGCACGTGCCTGAATCTGCCCATAAAAGGTGCCCTCCCTCCTCTTACGCGGGATGAACTTGCTGTCCTATCTGAGACCCGTCCTGCACCCTACACTAGATTGTATCTAATCTGTCTAAGTGCAATGCCCCAGCAATCCTCCCCTCTTTCTCATGCATCATCAGATTTTCTTCTCTTCTAGATCATTTCTATGAGCATACAAATATTCTGCTGTTTTTTCATCTTACATAGGAGCCCTGGTGGTACAGTGGTTAAGAACTTGGCTGCTAACCGAAAGGTCGGCGGTTCAAATCTGCCAGACACTCCTTCGAAACCCTATGGGGCAGTTCTACTCTGTCCTATGGGGCCACTATGAGTCGGAATCGACTCAACAGCAATGGGTATGTTTTTGTTTTTTTGTTTTTTAAATAAACAAAACCTGTCTTGGTGTCACTTTCCTCTCCAGCAACTGCCCATTTCTCTCCTCTTTATAACAGAATATCCTTGGATATCCTTGCTCACTCCAATTTCTCTCTGGAACCCAAATCAAGAATATGTTCACATCCCCTGACCCCACCAGTGGAATTGGTTTTATTATTGTTCTTAAATCATCTGCAGAAAACATACCGCCTTATTGTTGGCACGTGGGTAGACTACTCCCATCACACCTCCCCTCTTGGTACACTACTGTCCACCACTGAAACTGCACTTCTGAGTCACCAGTGACCTCTGTGTTGCTTAATCAGTTCTCAGTCCTTGCATTACTTCATCTACCAGTATCATTGGCACTGCTGATCACTTCTTCCTCTCGGATAAATTTTCTTCCTTAGCTTCCAGGATACCACATTCTCTGGGGTTCTTTCCTACCTCGCCTGTTACCAAGTCTGTTTTACTGGTTCCATCTCACTTCCCCAACATCTAAATGTTGGTGTGCCTCAGGCTTCTGTCCTTGAACTTCTGTCTTTGTGCTCCTACCCTTGGTGGTTTTATCAAATCTCAATCCCCCCTATATGCTGATAATTCCCAGATGTTCATTCCAGTCCACATTTCTCCCTGAAACTCCTGCCTCATATATCCAGCTGCCTATGGGTCATCTCCACTTAGATTTCTAATTGCCATCTCAAATCTAAATGCCCTAAACTGAGCTCTTAAAATTCCACAACTCCACGGAAACCAGTACCTCTTGCAGTCTTCCCCATCTCAGTTAAAGATAACTGTATTTCTCCTTTTGTTAAAAAAATAAAAAATAAAAAAATAAAGTTTAAACTTATGCCTTGTTGTCTTTCATACCCCATATCTGGTCCATCATCAAATCATGCTGACTTTACCTTCAAAAGGTATCCAGAATTGATCTCACCACCCATCTCCACTGATACCACCCATATCCAAACCACCATCATCTCTACCCAGATTGTTATAATAGCTCCTTCGCTGGTCTGTATGCATCTGCCCTTTCCCTCCTCCCCTGCCACAGTCTATTCTTAACACATCAGACAGAGTGATTCTATTAAAACATAAATCAGAGCATCACACTTCTCTGCTCAGAGTCCTCCAACGACTTCTCATATCACCCAGAGTAAAAGTCAAGGTCCTTCTTTAATGTATAAGGCCCTTTGTGATCTGGGTACCTCATCTTCTACTTCTTTCTACCTTGCTCTCTCTGTTCCAGCTGTCTTGGTATCCCAGCTGTTCCTTGATGGTATCAGGCACACTCCTGCCTCAGGGCCTTTGCACTTGCTCTTATCCCTATCTGGAATGCTCTTCCTCCTCATCTCATCATGGCTAGTTCCCTTGTTTCTTTTAGGACTTCTCAGGGAACTCCTTATGGCCACTGTATAATTTCACACTTCTTCCCCTCGGCAATAGTTTGTATTCTCCCTTTCTTTCTTTATGGTTTTTTTTTTTAAGTATTTATCACTCTCTAGCATACTATACATGTCATCAACTTAACTTGCTTAAAATATCTCTTTCATCCAGTAAATTAAGGGCTCCTTTGGCTGCAGGTTAAAGTGATCCACTGCTAACTGAAAGGTCGGCGGTTTGAAACCACCAGTGGCTCTACGGGAGAAAGATGCGAGTCTGCTTCCGTAGAGATTTACAGCCTTGGAAACCCTATGGGGTCACTGTAAGTCAGAATCAACTTGACGGCAGTGGGTTTGGTTTTGGTTGCAAGTGAGGAAAATCCGTGTGCATCAGCTTAAGCCAAAAGGGGATGTTTAAAAGGTGCCTCTGCAAGCTCCTTCCTTGTAAGGGTGGAGACCTGAGCTTCCGGAACCAGACAAGATGCTTTAAGAGTAGGCCTGCTGGATGAAATACAGGCTGTCCAGTTAAGTTAGAATTTCAGCTAAACAACGGATGGTTTTACACTCTGCTGCTGTTGCTTTGTCGTCTTCTTTCTCTGCACAGTGCCTCGTGTTTGTCTTTCTCTTCAGATTGGTTTTTTCTGTTTCTCAGTCCATGTGGAGGGAAGGGAAATGTCTGCTACCAGCGGTCCCAGTGTTGTTATAGGCCCTCAGTTATAAAGGAGCAGCCAAACACAGACCCTACTGTATGAGTCCCAATTCCCAGGCTATGGGATTGTCAGCCCGGTTTGGGTGAAAGCCTCCCTGTTCACACCATTCATGCAGTGTAACTAGGAGGATTGTTTGGGGTGGGACAGCAGGGGTTGGTTCTCAAAAAGTAACAAGGCTTAGGAGGCCAAACAAAAGCCAATAATTTTTTTTTTTAAATAAAATTATACAAAGGGAATTTCATTTGCCTAGATATAAAAAAAAAATCACATTACAATATTATAGTAATCAATGTTGTTGTTAGTTGCCGTCAAATTTATTCGGACTCAATACAGGATAGTTTATATGCAGGAATAACAAATCAATCAATGGAAGCAAACAGTCTGAGACAGATACATGGGCAGATTACAATTCAGTCCCTAACAAAGGTGCATTTCAAAGCAATGGGGAAAGAGTGAACTTGAGAGATAAAGTAGAATGTGTCCTGAGGACTGGCACCTGGACCTGGTGACCCTAGTGAGTCCGTCCTGGAAGCTGGACTGGCAAGGTCAGGGGAGGGGGGGCAGGTGAGGGGCGCTAATGGTAAATGAGGATAATTCCTTTCAGATGTGTGATGAGTAGGGGAGCGAGGCACATTGCTGGGGGCATTGCGGTGTCAAGGCAGGATTTATTGTTTTTTAAAAAAGAAGAGGCATATAAACGCTGATGAGAATAATCCAGTGCACAAGGAGAGGTTATAAATATATGAGAGAAAGAGGATAACTGATAGCAAAAGGTTGAGAGCGGGCAGGGGTGAGGTGCAGAGCACCTGGGGAGGACACATTTGCAGGGAGGGAGGCCTGCCTTCCTTCTCTGTACCTGGAGGGCAGGAGAGGAGCACCTAAGCTGGCTGATTTGGTGTAACAGAGCTGTCTTCTCTGTCATGTGCTTAAAGTATGTGAGTGTTGGGAGTGGGGGGCCAGGTATGAGGTTTACAGAAAACGGGAAAACATTTGAACTTATTTCTCTATGAAGTAGGGAATTGGTTGCCTAAAGCTTAGGTTCTCACACTTGAGCATGAACTAGAATCAGCTGGAGGGCTTATTAAAACAGATTGCTGGACCCTGCCCCTAGAGTTTCTGAGTCAGTAGGTCTAGGGTGGGGCCTAAGAATGTGCATTTCTAACAAGTTTCCAGGAGTTGCTGCTGCTGCTGGTTTGAGGACCATACTTTAAGAACCACTGGTCTAGAGTAGAGAAAGGAGGACAGGAAAGACGGCTGCTGTGAACGCCCAGGTGAAGTCAGCAATCGGGAAGTCTCAAGACTGCCTTGCTGCAGAGGTCCTGACACACCCAAGGCAGATGATGATGCTCATTCAGGACTGGGATTCTGTGAAGGAGGCAGGAAGGGAAGAAATGGGGCAAGGGAGCTTAGGAACTTCGAATGGGAGTAACTGGTCCTAGCTAGGTGTAGAGGCACCTGAAGCTAAGAGAGGGAACGTTAGAGAGGTGCTTCTGACAATTAATAACAATTTCCAACTGACTGAATACCATAAAACTGATTTTTAATGTGCTCAACATTCCTCAAAAAGAATGCACCTTGAATACAGGGAAATATTTTTCATGGCATTAAGCATGAACAAACATTCAGTGATGCATATTCACTTTTATCAATACTAAGTAGCAGGGGCCTAACTATGTAAAATATCACCTGGGTCAATTAATGTTAAATTGCTGAATGAGCTCTCACAGCTGGCGATGGAAACCGTGATGGCCAATAGAAACTGCTAATTGGGTGCCCTGCCTCAAGTGTACCTGCATCCCGCCCCCCTGCCCCCAGTAAGGCCTCTGCTGAGTAGGCATCTGAGTCCACCACCTGTCTGTCAGTTCCTTGTACTGTGGTGGCTTGTGTGCTGCTATGATACTGGTAGCTATGCCACTAGGATTTCAAATACCAGCAGGTTCACTCATGGTGGACAGGTATCAGTGGAGCTTCCTGACTAAGACAGACTAGGAAGAAAGGCTTGTTCATCTACTTTCAAAAATTAGCCATTGAAAACCCTATGGATCAGAACAGAATACTGTCCAACTGAAGTCAAACACACCAATGGTGCAGGATCAGGCAACATTCTGTTATACATGAGGTTGTCATGAGTCAGAGCCAACTCTACAGCACTTAACGACAACAGACATAGAATTGTGCTAAGATTGTTGCAAAACCACCTCTTCCACACTGATGTTAATCTCCGACCTTGTGTTTTGATCCAAGCACAAAGTCGTCCTTTGATCATCCTGTTAATAAGAGAACACAAGCACCTCTCCTGAAGAAGCTGGTCAGTATTTAAAAACAAGGAAACAAACAATGGTGATCTATAATAGAAACGAAATAGGCAATTTTCTTCTTTTATCACGTTTCCCCCTCAAACTTCTAGGGATGGCCTGTTTGTTAGAGTTGTTTGTATGGAAAGGGTCAGTGTCAGGTATACCAGGTGGCCTGAGTGGTCAGGGTGTGAAGCTTCTCAGTGATTCTCTTTCTGTGTCTCTTTCTCCCTCTCCTGTTTCTCCTGCTCTCTGACCCTCGCTGTGCAGGTGTCTGGTTGAGAAGGGAAATGTGACCTTTGTGAAGCACCCTACGGGCCTGCAGAACACTGACGGTAGGTGCCTGCACTGTCCTTTCTTCCCGAGGAAAACTCTGAATCCCTCACGTGCGATCACTACCACCACTGCCACTCCTAGTCGGGCAATTGGAATGTTATTAATCCTGTCAGACTCCAGTGACTTAGGTCCTAACATTGCTTATTTTGGGAATGAGAAGACTCTTCACATCTGGTCCGACTTACGGGGTTGAGCCAGCTATTACGTGGACTCGAACCCTGCTCGCAGACACATAGAAGTCACAGTCTGGTTCTCTCAGTTCACAAAAACATAGACTGTCTCTGTTACCCATACATGTGGGTGCAAGATTTGTGTATGCTTTTTAATAGTTTATCTTTGCATACATATTTTACTTTCGTAAGCTGGTTAGGTACCCAATTCATGCCCATGCACACTTCCCAGGCTCTGTCTGAGACCAGCTGGGACTTGTTGAGGAGATGCGCTCCACCAGAGATTGGGTGTTTATTTTACACAGATAGGGTCCGTGCACTGGAGCAGTCGAGCCAATGAAACATACTCCAAGTCAGAAAGAGTGAGAAAGTTTTAATTCAGGAGGTGTTCACCAACGGGGATCCGACAGCAATGCAGGCTGGAGTCCCAAAAGACATTTTTACATCGGAGCTTATATGTGATTTTTACAAAGGTTAGACGTGTCGTTATACAGTGTACAGTAGTTACAAGAGACTCTTTATCATACTAAAGAGATACTTGTTGGACATTTCCTTATCTGACATCTGGGCTCTGATCTTCCTGTGGGGGGGTCCTAAGTCAAAAAACAAAGTCATTAACAAAGGTATGCGTAAAACAAAGCCATTAACAAAGGTATATAAAAAGGGAGAAGGCAAAAAGAAAAAGAAAAAAAACTTAAAGGTTCATCATGGCATTAGTTATGTCAAGCTCTCAGTTGCCCATTTTGAAAAGGAGGAAACATGCTGGGGTCACACTTATTGACACTCTTTATGTTCATGGATGCCCAGACCAAGAATTGGCAAACTCAAGACCCCTGTTACCAATTCAGCCTTCACCCTACTTTCTCCTAGCCTCACACCCTACCTCCCAGAGAAGAGTGAGGCAAGGGAAAACAGAGGGAAGGAAAAGATCTTTCAAACAGTAACCAAAACCCTAAAGCAAAAAAGCAAGAGCGTGATCAACTTTGCCAAACAAAAATTTTAAACTTTCTTATGAACAGAAATCAACCATAAACAAAGACAGATGACAAAGGACAAAGTAAGACAAACTATTTGCTTGGAATGTGGCAAAAGGCTTATGAGTTTAGCCAAAACTAAAACATTTGATAATAGTAGTATTGGTGAGGGTGTGGGCAAAGCCACTCTTGTATGCTCTTGGTTTAAGTGTAAATTGGTTTGACACTTTTAAAAGAAAAATTGGAAATATTTATCAAACTTTTAATTACACATAACCTTTGAACCAGAATACATTTCTAGGAGTTAATTCCACAAATTTATTGACACCAGTCTGCTAAGATTGATAAGTTATTAATTGCAACATTTTTTGTAGTCAGAATTTAGGAAACAAGCAAGTTAAGATCCTGAATTAGTTGAAGCTATAATGATACTTTCACACAATGGAGTATTGTGGGGCTTTTAAAGAGAATATAGTAGTTCTAGGTGGGGCCCGGCTACCACCAGTGACTGCCCTGATGGGGAACACAACAGAGAGTCCCTGACGGAGCGGGAGAAAGCTGGGGAGCCGAACTCAAATTCACATAAGAAGACCATACTTAACGGTCTGACAGAGACTGGAGGAACCCCCGAAACTATGGCTCCTGGACGCTGTTAATCCAGAACTGAAACCATTCCCAAAGCTCGTGCTTCAGATGAAGATTAGACAGGATTATAAAACAAAAAATAATACACGTGGGGAACGTGCTTCTTAGTTCAGTCAGACACACGAGACCAAGTGGACGGCTCCTGTCCGCAGGCAGGATGAGAAAGCAGGAAGGGACAGGAACTGGTTGAATGGACATAGGGAACCCTGAGTGGAAAGGGGGAGTGTGCTGTCACATTGTAGGGATTGCAACTAATGTCACAAAACAATATGTATATAAATTTTTGTGTGAGAAATTAACTTGAGCTGTAAACTTTCACCTAAAGCACAATAAAAAAAATAAAGAGAATACAATAGTTTATATATCATGGTATGATATGAAAAGATTGCCGTGCGAAAAAAGACATTGCAAAACACAATGTATTTAATACACCTTTTCTGTTTAGATCTTTTAGTTCTTCCTATTGTTGTCATTTTTAAGAATACACACATACATTATAGATGGTTAAAAAGTGCCTGGCAGGATATATCTGGAGATGAACTTGGTGAGCCTGAGAAAAAGAGGGTTCCAGGTTCTCTTTTTATGCTGTTTTTGATGCGTGAATTTCTCACACTGTTACCTTAAAACAGTGGTTCTCAATGTGTGGTCCTTGGACCAACAGCAACAGCATCAGCATCACCCAGGAACTTGTTAGAAATGCAGGTTATCAAGTACCACTCTAGACCTACTGTCTCAGTCATCTAGTGCTGCTATAACAGAAATACCACAAGTGGATGACTTTAACGAGAAATGCATTCTCTCACAGTCTAGTAGGCTACAAGTCCTAATTCAGGGCATCAGCTCCAGGAGAAGGCTTTCTCTCTCCATCAGCTCTGGAGGAAGGTCCTTGTGATGCATCAGTCTTACCTTGCTCTGAGAGCATCTCAGCACAGGAACCTCAGATCCAAGGGACGCGCTCTGCTCCTGGTACTGCTTTCTTGGTGGTATGAGGTTCCCATGTTTCTCTGCTCGCTTCTCTTTTTTATATCTCAAAAGAGATTGGCTTAAGACACTATCCAATCTTGTAGACTTCGTCAGCATGACTGCCACTAATCTATCTTATTACATCGTAGTGATAGAGTTTACAACACATAAGGAAATCACATCAGATTACAAAATGGTACATAATCATACAATAGTGGGAATCATGACCCAGCTGAGTTGACAGATATTTTTGGGGGGACATAATTCAATCCATGACACCTACTAAATAAAAAATTAGGAGGTAGGGCCCAGTAACCTGTGTTAACCATTCCCCCAGAAGATTCTGGTGCACCCAGAACCTCACTGCCTTAAAATATGTTTATGTGATCTCCAGGGAAAGTTTTGGTAGTGGCATAATCTGGACTTTGAGGTTCCTGATACTGTGAAGTTATATTTTCAGGGATTTGATAAAGATGTGCAAAACTGTAAGGCATTTGGAGACTGAAGAAAAAGATTCTTCCTATTTGGCAAGAAAAAGTCAGAGATTTATTCTTGCCACAGGAAGAAGTGACACTGGGTACGGAATGTTGAGAGAGATCGGTCACTGTAGACCTATGCTGAATGTGCAGGTGCAGGTTAACATGATGTCATATCATATCATGTTATTTTTTATAAACTTCTTATTGTGTATAACATGCATATCGAAAAGTACACCAATTATAAGAGTACTTCTGTATGAATTTTCACCAAGTGAGCTCACCCAAGCAACCAGCTCTCAGGCCAAGAAATAGAAATGACCAGTGCAGAAGCCCCCTGGGCCCCTTCCACTCACTAACCGGCACAAGAAGGGTCCTGACTTCCAACATCATAGATCAGTTTTGTTGTTTTCAGATTTTATATAAAAGAAACCATGGCACAGATTCATTTGTGTCTGGCCTCCTTTGCTTAACATCATGTCTGTGAGATTCATGCAAGTTATTGCTTGTAACAGTACTTTTTTTTTTTTATTGCTAAATATTTCATGTGCGAGTAGACCACAATGCATTTATCCTTTCTGCTATCGATGGTATTTTGGGTTGTTTGCATTTTTTACTATGGAAATTCCTGTGCATGTCTAATGGTGAACATATGTCCTCATTTCTCTTGACTATTACCTAGAAATAGACTTGCTGCATCACAGGATATACATATGATTTGCTTTTTAAAAAAGTAATATTTTATTGTATTTTCAGTAGAAGTGTACAAAGCAAACCAGATTGCCATTCAACAATTTCTATACGTATTGTTCAGTGACGTTGATTACGTTCTTCACATTTTATCAACATCCTCTGTTCTAGTTCTGTTCCCATTAACCTAGTCTCACGGCCCCTTATCTATGTTTTAGAGTATTTGTTGACCATTTGGTCTCATATAGATGGTTTTTTTAAAAAGCACGGTACTCAAGGGTGATATTCATTTCTTTGTGAGCTAACCTGCTTTTTTTAGCTAAAAGGTGACTTGAAGGGATAGTTTCGGTTCAAGGCTTAAAGAATATCTCAGGGCAATAGTATCAGGGATTCCTCCTGACTCAGTGGGTCCAGTAAATCTGGATTTTTTTTTCTCCCTTTCTATCAGGATCTGTCTATTGTGGTCCTGATCAAGACGTATGGTAGTGGTAGCCGAGCACCACCTAGTTCTTCTGGTCTCACAGTAGAGAAGGCTGTGGTTCATGTAGACAGTTGGTCCTGAAGACTGCTTCCTTCTCTGAGTCTTGGGTCTCCTTCTTTCTCTTTTGCTTCCGACAAGTAGAGACCAATAGTTGTATCTTAGATGGCCACTCGCAAGCATTTAAAACCTCAGATGCTACTCACTGGATTAAGATGTAGAACATAAACTTTATGAACTGTATATTATGCCAGTTGACTGAGTAGTCCCATGAGACTATGACCTTAAGTCTTCAAACCGAGAAAACTAATCCGATGAGGTGATTGGTTATGTTTAAGAAGTATCAGTTTCTGTGACCCTTATTTGTTTTATCATATATATGTATATTTATATATCTACACATGGAAACCCTAGTGGCGTAGTGGTTAAGAGTTCAGCTGCTAACCAAAAGGTCAGCAGTTTGAATCCATCAGGTGTTCTTTGGAAACCCTGTGGGGCCTTCTACTCTGTCCTATAGGGTCGCTATGAGTTGGAATTGACTCGATGGCAGTGGGTTTGGGTTTTTTTTATTTGTACACCTACACACACACGTAATGATTTGCTTTTGTAAACAGAGTCAAATGTTTTACAAAGTGGTTGTAACAATTTAGGCTCCCACTAGCAACGTATGAAAGTTCCACACCCTCACCAAAACTTGGTATTTTCTTGTCGGGACGGCGACGGCGACGGTAACCAACTGCACAACTCTTACAGAGAAGTGAGGCCAAGGAGGGTCACTCAGAGGAGTCCACCCCGGCTTCAGTCCCAGGAGTTTATTTATAGTCAATACAGCAAGTAGTGAAGCAAATCACAGAACAGTGGGCTTTGGGTGACTAACAGTAAGTTTCGGGCAAGGGAGAATGGACTTCAGGTAAACAAGCCAATCAGTAATGGGACAATAGGTTTTGGAAAAACAAGTCGTGACAAGTCTCAACATGTTGCTGACAAGTCTCAACATGCTGTGTGGAGCATATGGGCCTTTGAGGGGCTGAAGTTGTCACTGGTGTAGCCATATTTCAATGGCACGTATCCCCACATTTTCTCTCTTTTCTTTTTTGCCATTCTGAAGTTATGTAGTGCATAGCTATTGGAGTTTTCATTTATTTTTATTAATTTTTGTTCCCTTTATGATGAATTGGGAACATATTCTTAGGTTTTTTGGCCACTATTTGGGTATCTTCTGTTACGAAGTTCTTGTTCAAGTTTCATGCCCATTTTCTACTTTTTCTTTTTGATTTAAAGACATTTTTTATGTATCCTGGTTACAAGTTTTTGTCAGATATATGTATTGAAAATATCTTGTCCCTCTCCATATAATTCAATTTATCAGTCTTTTCCTTTCTGGTTAGTGCTTTTTCAGCCCTGTTTAAGAAATCTTTGCCTACTATGAGTTTATGAATTTTTCTCTTATGTTTTATTTTTTAAAGTCTAATGTTTTATTGCTCTGTGTCTGTTGTGACTCTCCCAGACACTGGTGGTTGCTCACATCCCCTAGGGTGGATGCCCTGACTAAAGCCGTCCTCTTTGACTGATCCACCTTCCTTCTCTCCCAGGAAAGAACCCTGCCCCATGGGCTAAGGATTTGAAGCAGGAAGACTTTGAGTTGCTGTGCCTTGGTGGCACCCAGAAGCCTGTGACCGAGGTTCAGAGCTGCCACCCGGCCATAGCCCCAAGTCATGCAGTGGTCTCAAGAAAAGAGAAGGCAGAATTTGTTTGCAGAGTACTCTTCAACCAACAGGTATGGGCATCCAGGGCCTCCCGCACCCTCCCACAAGTGAGTACTCAGTTCACTAGTGGAAAGGCACAGACATACCTGCCCCGTCTCACAGGCTTTCTCTCTAATAGCAGTAAATGTGGATTCTCCCAGGCCTGCCTCTGATTAAAGAGGAAAGCTGATTGCTATGTTCACTTCTTGCTCTGGGACTGTTAAGGATAATCAAAAAACAAAAAAACCAACTAGTTTCCATCAAGGTGACTCTGACTCATGTTGACCCCATGTGTGTAAGAGTAGAACTGTGCTCCATATGGTTTTCAATGGTTGAGTTTTTGGACGTGATCTACTTCCAAAATGAGCCTTTCTTCTGAGGCTCCTCTGGGCAGACTCGAACCTCCAACTTTAATGGACTGGAAAATGGATTTGGACATCTGAAGTGTCTCCCTGATACTCAGTTGACTCTGAGCAAATTCACAGTACCTCATGGGCTTGTTCAGTTACTCCATGAACGTTATTCCTTTTGCTCTTCTTCAGCATCCTTGACACTAGGCTAAGCTATATATTGTGAAAAGCTGACTGGAGGTTACTCTTTCTGACCTATGGATGGACCTGAATGTGTTTACTGAGCCTGGGCAGGCTGAACACTGCTTTAAGCTTCCTAAAAATTGAGAGCACACATTTGGAGAACTTGTGACCTCCACAGGCAGCCAACTAGGGCTGATCTTATGGGGTAGTGGACCACCTCAATCACATAATTTTAAGGAGACCCCCAAACCCCCTCCTCATTTTGCACTATCACACCCTATTCTCTGAGGTCCCCCAACAAGTAATCTGTGTCTTAGCATGCACTGCCCATGCATCACAATTAAATATTGATGACCCAGGGAGAGCTGGCAAAATAAGAGGCTCGCAGTCTTGGACTTTTGAAAGTGTGGGTCCCACACAGGGTGAGCTGTCACCTTGGCTACAAGGGAAGTGTACTAAGGAAAAGAAAGGAGAGGAAGGAGGTAGAAATGGTTGGGCATCTGGGGCATATCCAGAGAATAGAAGAGGCAAAGTGGCAAGAGCTGCAGGCAATAGGAAAAGATTCAACTGACAGTGGTTGGAGAGAAGTAGTGATACAGGGGCAAAATTAAGCTTCTGTTTACCAGATGGTTTACGTACATCATCTCTCTGCTTTTTGTTATTAATTCTATTTACAAATGAGTATGGAGGCTCATTGAGCTCAGTAAAGAACTTGCCCAAAGTCACACAATAAGTAAAAAATAGGGCCAGGATTTGAACCCAGGCAGTTGGACTCCAGAAACCATGCTTTTTGCCATTTTGCCATGATACCTCGTAAATTGTGGCTGTGTCCCAGATTTCCGGGAGGCTGGAGCTGAGCAGCCCAGCTAACTTAGGTTTTCTGATACAGAATACACAGCCCTGAGCTTCCTAGTGCCCATGGTTACTCACTGTCTGTCTATCTGACCCAGGAGCTCTTTGGAAGAAATGAGTTTGAATATGCGATATTTCAGCTGTTCACATCCTCAAGCAACAACCTGCTGTTCAGTGATGACACGGAAAGTTTGGCCAACCTTCAGAACAAAACAACTTATGAAAAATACTTACGGCGCGAGTACCTTATGGCTATTGGTAACCTGAGACAATGCTTAACCTCTGGTAAACAGAATAATACATCAAGGGGAAGTAACATGAGGGTCCAGGTGAACATGTTTGTATTAAGGCCTATTGTGTGCCAAGCCCTGGGCAAGGACCGATAGGAACACAAGCCATGGAGGGCCAGCTTCCTGCCCCGAAGGAGGAGTCAGACTCACTGATGAGGCCACTCAATTACACAACAGTGTAAGACACTCTTTGAAAAAATGCCAAGTTGTTTGAAGTAGACAGTGAATGCAGTAGAACTTGAGATCACTTGGGAATTGAGCATGTTTACATATGTATTTTCATTTTTTGCTAACAAAATGAAAATGTTATGTGTGGGCGCTTGGCTTGGGAAATGACACAGGTATACCACAGATACAGGACCTATTTTCAAACATTTTATGTAAATATATAAATAATATTAATAGAACAAGTAAATAAAGCATATTTAGCACTATCATAGGCCCTTTCAAGCTGTATATATATTAGAATGGCACAGTTGCATTAAAAAGAAATTAATTGGGGAAATAAAATTAGAACTGGGATAATCAAACTATTGGGAGTGTGCTTGAATTTTTGTTGAGTTACATCATGCATTGGAGATGATGAGAGCAGTTTGAAAGGAAAATGTAGGTATCAAGGAAAGCACATCTGTTGGTATGAGAATGTGTGTGTATGTGTGTGTGCATATTCAAACGTCTTTGTTAGCTACCATTTACTCCTAGAAAATAGGTACAGAATTGTGTTTAGCAAGCATAGAAAGTACCTGATGATCTTTGTCTTATGTTCTTGCCCCACAGAACTTCTGGAGGCCTGCACATTCCATGGAAATTAGAAAGCAATCAAGGTGGGGACCGCACAGACGCTGTAAATACAGCGGGACCACGTTCCCACCTGTCTCTGTGTGGGTTAACATCACTTGTCTTCTTAACTGTGCTGCAACTGATGGAAAAATTAAAATAAATGAAAGTTACTGTGGCTTCTTGAATAACGTTGCTGAATTTTCTCAGACTAATTTTTCAAGAAAAATTATTTCTTTGTCCTAGAATGGTGCATCTGAATTTAATACCTATTAAATTGTACTTTTAAAAAGAACTCTACCAGTCGAGCTCGATTTCCTTTCCTATACTTTATTTTACCCGAGTGAAGTCATCTAAGTACAATTTAAGCAATAAATCCCTCCAAAGAGAGTGTGAGTGTGATTGCAAGTATGCAAAAATCATCTGTGTGTGCAGTATTGAGGGCTTACATAATAAAAAGAAAGTATAAGGGATGGTTTGGTGTACTTTAAAAAATATAATTTAACATTTAAAATTAATAAAATCAAGTAGAATTGAACTCCTGATTCAGATTAATTGGAAAATATTTAAATTACTGCAACAATTCAATGTTCTGACCTTTTTACACTCAACTTCCTGAAAGTGTGATGTACACTCATTTCTTTTAAATGATGTTATCAGAGGTTTTTGTATATCTACTATTACAGTAATTTCAGCCTATGTTAGTGCCTTAATAAATATTGAGTGAAAATTATGTATTGTTAAAAGTTTTATGAATGTGGACTTCTGCTTCTGTCCATGAAAGAGTAACCAGTACAGGACTTGCTCTCCTTCCATAAACAACTAAAAAAAAAAAACTGGACAAAATACATGAAACAACTGTTTTCAAATATTGGACAACAGCAGTACACAAGTCTGATCCCTGAAAGGAGCAAAGCAAAAGAGGTGACAGAATGACGACGCTACTTTCTGCCTGGAGGCAATTTCCAGATAGATATTGGCCCAGGGAGGGGGAACCTCTTAACACTGATTTGAGGACACAGAGACTGGAAGCTTGGGAGGCCAAGGTAGCTGCAATTTGTGGGGTTGAGTAACAGAAAGCATGGAACGTTGCAGGGAAAAATCTCTAGAGATCTGCATGGGAGTCTCCCTCAGTCTTTGGTGAAATACTAATCTGCACAGCAAAATGAAATTGAAATCCGTGAGACTGGGCAAAGAATAACTGAGAGACCTATAAGCTAAACAATTCCCAGAGCTCACACAGGGCCAGGAATCATTTGAGTTTCTACCAGCCAGAATGAAGAGACCTTGTTGAACACTTAACGCTTCTACGCTTGGACCAAACCAAAAACCAAACCCATTGCCGCAGCCCTAGAATAAGGGTTAATCTATAACTACCCTTCCAAACCAAACCAAACCAAACCCATTGCCATCGAGTCAATTCTAATTCATGGCAACTCCATGTGTTACAGAGCAGCGCTTAGCTCTATAGGGTTTTCTTGGCCATAATTTTATGGAAGCAGATAGCCAGGCCTTTCTTCCATGGCACCAGTAGGTGGGCTCGAGCTGCCAACCTTTCGGTTTGTAGTCAAGTACAAACTGTTTGCACCACACCAAAACCAACCAAACCCATTGCTGTCGAGTCAATTCTGACTCATAGCAACCCTATAGGACACAGCAGAACTGCCCCATAGAGTTTCCAAGGAGTGCCTCATGGATTCAAACTGCCGACCTTTTGGTTAGCAGCCATAGGACTTAACCACTACACCACCAGGGTTTCCTTGTACCACCCGGGTACCTTTAAACCCATTGCTGTCAATTCGATTCTGACTCCTGGTGACCCCATGTATTATAAAGTAGAACTGCTCCATAGGGCTTTTTTTTTTTTTTTTTTCACTATAATCTTTACAGAAGCAGATCACCAGGCCTTTTATCTGCAGCATTGCAGGGTGAGTTTGAACGGCTAACCTTTTTGTTAATAGAGCAGTGAAAACAATTTGCACCACCCAGAACGCAGGCCATCAATTACCTTTTTATTTTTATTTATTTATTTATTTAATTGTACCTCAGGTGAAGGCTTACAGAACAAATAGTTTCTCATGAAACAGTAGTACATATGTTGTTTTATGACATTGGTTAACAACCACACAACATATCAACCCTCTAACTTCTCAACTTTTTTTTTGGTGAAAATACACATAACCAAAGATACACCATTTCAAAAATTTCTACATGCACTGTTCAGTGACATTGACCACGCCCTTCCAATTGTGCAGTTATTCTCACTTAAGACGAAGGCTTACAGAACAAAATTGTTTCTCATTTAACAGTTACTACAAATGTTGCCCTATGACAATGGTTCACAATCTCACAACACATCAACAATATCCTTACTCAACCTTGGGGTCCCTATCACCAGCTTCCTTGTCCCCTTCTGCCTTCTGGCCCTTGTCACTGGACTCCTGTACCCCGTTAGTCTCATTTAGTTTTACGGGACTGTCCACTCCCAGGCTGACCAGTGGACCTCGGAGGTAACTTCACCACTAAGCTAAAAGGGTGTCTGGGGGCCATACTGTCAGGGTTTCTCCAGTCTCCTTTAGGCCAGTAAATCTAGTCTTTTTTTTTGTGAGTTAGAATTATGCTCTACATCCTTCTCCAGCTCTGTCCAGAACCCTCTGTTGTGATCCTGGTCAGAGCAGTCAGTC